TTAATGCTGCATGCAAGGGTAAGGATGAATAGTAACATCCATGACACACGAACCTGATACGAAAGAAATTGTCAAAGAGCTGACTGTAAATGAGTAAGGGCACCTCAAAGAACATCTTAAGGTCAAGTCTCCCACCGAATAGCCTTGGGTTCAACCAGGTACCCATGATGAAATCAGCCACCTGACCTTCACCGCTCGACAAGCCGGCCATCCAACTGAAAGAAATTCGAACTGCGAACACAGCAACGAGATCCGCGCTTACCCCGTGAACCACATGTAAACAGATGTGATATCAGCAGCTAACATAGTGAGCAGGACCAACGAATAGTAATAGTCCGTCAGACGGGTGATAGACCAGATGCTGGTGAGGTGAAGAGCAGCTAATGTGATGAGCGTAACATACCTGACCAAAGCATGCCGCTACGCTCCAAAGTAGACCAGGATACCATGCTGCAAGGGCGTTGCAATTGTACACCAGACGGTCTCCATTGGCAAGAGGCAACCCCTTGACAACGACTCCTGGTAAGACTACACCGAGGAACATCTCGAAGGCTATAAAGGCAAAGTACCTGAAACACCACAACATAACATGCCTAGCGACTCATAAAACCCCATGTACCAAACGGCCGCGTCCAAGAAGTTCTCTTTGACATCATCTAGAAGAATAGTGAATCCCTCATCAAACCAGAGCCTCATTGGATTGAACACATGCCCTCTATACAGCCGAATAGACGTAGCCAAGTAGAGGACCTATATTAAGACAAGGGTTGATCTTGATCGCGGAGGCATGCTTCCTACAATGGAGTGAGAGAAGGCTAGCAAGCCAAGGTAACCAGCAAGATCAAACCACTTACGAGTGGCTACAATCTTGGGTTTCACCGCTTTATTGTTGTTGTTGTTGTTGATGTTCACCATACGGAAGGGTTAACAGTAGGCTTATAGCGCTAGCCGGAAAGATACTACAAATAACAATATCTCCGACCTGTTGTTCCTCCTCCCCAGACGAAGTGGCATGCTAGTAGCGACTCTCGCTTTCCAACGTAATCCCCACCAACTTGAGAACATCAACACCAGGTACAGCTGAAGGCAATGCTTTATCCTGTAGATTTATAGTATCCTCGGCAACGTCAGAAACAGCCATAGAATACACGTCGTCAGATTTCCCCTTGAAAAAACTGCTAGCCTACTCAAGGTCACTGCACGGTTATCACCAGAGAATCATTCAGACACCTATAATGTTCCCGGGGGAACTCATTTTGAATGTCCCACATAGCTAGGATTCCTAGCAACGTAGAAAGTCCAGCCAAGGTCGAAACACATACTTCAATCACTTTCCCATGTAGATGTCAACACATTTTTCCCATTGTTATCAAACCATGGGAGGACGATATTTCTCAGAGCTAAATGGGTCCCTGTTCATCACCACAGAACAGAGAGAAAATACGAAGTGCATGTTGCTATCTCATCTACTACGATGAGGTTGGTAGAACACACATCTCCCACTAGATCAACAACTTCAAAGGAGTCTCGACCGTTCCCAATACCCTAGGTAG